TAAATGCAAAAAACTAAATTATAATCTCAATTTAACTAAAATATTTCCTAAAGATATTTGTATAATCGTTAAAAGTTTTCAAATAAGTAGCTTAAAATAACTTATAATAACAATAGTTAAAAATAACTTTATATAAATGATTATATTGTTACCTTCAAAATCAAAAAGCAATGTTTGTTGTTTTAAATAATTATAATGATAGAAATTAAAACGCTAAGCAAATAGATTTTAAAAAATTAATTAACAATAACATCAACTATAAATAACATAAAACCATATATTATATTTAATTTTATTCATGAATAACCCGCGAGTAGGAAGTCATTCAAACGGTTGAGATTATGCAGTTATAATAGATGTATATAGTATCATATAATTCAAAATAATCAATATATTATATTAATTTAGTATACGAATTATTATATCAAATTTAATAACAACGTTATTGTTATCTTCTAAAAAAACATATATTTTTAAAGATTTCAATTATATAGGTGTTTCTGCGCAACGCGTGGGCATTCGCCTAGTATACTTATAAAGAAGGAATTTTTCCTTTCACCACATTCATTTGAAACTCCCATGACTTTTCAATTTCTTTCTAATAATGATTATAAGTTGGTTAATCAGGTTAAATAAATATAAAACCTAAAGTGTAATCATATATAAACTAAATTTCAATATTAAAAGATTATCTTTACTTCTACTTATAAAGTTATGTTTCTTAACTTTTAACATATTATACTTAATTTATTAGTTTTAATATATTGTTGGATATAAACCATTATCATTTTAAAGCTACAACTTTTTAACAATTTGTATAAAATACTTAAATTATTAATTTTAATATAACATTACAGGGTCAATTTAAAATGAAATTTAGTTTAACTAAAACAACCCAAATAATATTTTGTAAATAATTAAAAGTGATAAATTGTAGTGTCGTTCTAATAATGATTATAAGTTGGTTAATAAGGTTAAATAAATATCAAACTTAAAGTGTAATTATAAATAAACTAAATTTCAATATTAAAATAATATCCTTACTTCTACTTATAAAGTTATGTATTTAACTTTTAGCATATTATATTTAATTTTTTAGATTTAATATGTTGTTGTATATAAACCATTATCAGTTTAAAGCTACAACTTTTGAACAGTTTGGACAAAATACTTAAATTGTTAATTTAAATATAACATTACAGTGTCAACTTAAATATAAATTTCAATTCCACTTAAAAACTTCAAATAATATTTTGTGAATAGTTAAAAGTGATAAATTGTAGTGCTAAATGCAAAAACTAAATTGTAATCTCAATTTAACTAAAATATTTCCTACTGATATTTTTATAATCGTTAAAAATTTTCAAATAAGTAGCTTAAAATAACTTACAATAACAATAATTAAAAATAACTCTATACAAATGATTATATTGTTACTTTAAAAATAGAAAGAACAACGTATGATGTTTTAAATAATTATAAAAAATTAATTAACAATAACAACAACTATAAATAACATTAAACCATATATTATATTTAATTTTATTCATGAGTAACTCGCGGATAGAAGTCATTCAAACGATTGAGATTATGCAATTATAATAGATGTATATATTATCATATAATTCAAAACAATCAGTATATTATATCAATTTAGTATACAAATTATTATATCATATTTAACAACAACGTTATTATTATATTTAAAAAAACATATATTTGTAATGATTTCAACTATATATGTGTGTTTCTGCGCAACGCACGAGCATTCACCTAGTATATATATATATATATATATATATATATATATATATATATATATAGAGAGAGAGAGAGAGAGACGAATCCCAGCGCGTTGCACAGTAATATATTTATATAGATAATTAACAAAAAATATATTTCGTTAAAAATATTTAAGTCAATGTGATTAACTATGAAATAAACACTTTCTATTGGTATTGTAAAAAATAATTATTATTGTTAAACCATATTACTTTAACTCTCAAAAGATAACATAAGTTTAACACTTATATACATAAAATAAAATAATATGAATAATATCTGTCATAATAAATTTAATATCTTAATAATTCGTTGAAAATATTTTAGTCGTTGTTATTAACTATGAAATAAACATTGTCAACTAATATTGTAAAAAACTAATTATTATTTCTTAAACTGTGTTACTTGAATTCTTATAAAACAACATATGTCTAAAACTTATATAAATACAATAAAATAATATGAATAATATCTTTGTCAATTAATTTAATATTTAAATAAATAAAAATCCATTAGTAAAAGTCATTTAGTTAAAACCTATTTAACTATCCAATATTCATAAATTATACCATATTAATATGAGTACTTACTAATTATAATATATAAGTTAAAAAACAATATTTTTTTATTCATTTTGTAAAGTTTATGCATAATGTCAAATGCTCGAATATAAATAAAACATATTAGTATAATATTTACAAATAATATATATATATATATATATATATATATATATATATATATATATATATATAATTGAGTTACAACAGAGTAGAACTCTCATAACTTACACAAAAAGTAACATTTACTTAACATAAATGTGTTTATGTCACTCAATAATAGTATAAATAGTTCATACATATAAATGTTCAAAGTTTTCTAGTTCCAAGAGCACTCCCAAAATGATCATAGGATTTGCCTCTTTCTTGCCTTGATTTTTTCTTTATATCTTTCTATGAATAAAAAAAAAACTATTTTATCCTAATATTCATCGTGACTTAATACATTTAACCCGACCATTTTATAGGGGATTAAAAAAGATAACAAACAACATTCTGAAAATATATCATCATCTTACATTTTCATTACAATTCTTATATTCTAGTAGACTTTGTAAAGTGGACAATAAAAAAAAAAAAACATAATTATGCCAATAAAATAATAATAATAATATTAATAGAATAGAAGAAAACTCCATTAGAAAACTTGAAAATAATTGTATATGTCTCAAATATATCTTGACATCATATCCGTTCATATGGTTTATGCACCTTTAATTTTTTTTTTTGAAGCATTTTATCCACTACACAACCACCCATAATTTTGATAACTTTACTGACATAATCTACCAATATTACCAATCATTACAAGAAAAAATCAATTTTCCTACGGAAGGAATCCATTGTAAAAGGCTGAAACTCCATTTCAAATGATGAATAGTTATGGAATTTTCAACGACCCATTTCTGTCCAAAAAAAACGCCTAATGAAGAGTCCCATCAGAAACTGTAATTTTATTGCAAATGTGACAACCGAATGAAATTTGTAGTAGAGGTTGTTCCGTCGCACTTTCGATAGACGGATTCCATTACGAATTTTGTATTCATGCGTCCATTATGAATTTCGTAGTTCTCTTTCTTTAGTTAATTCCATTGCATTGATTTCGTCAAAAATTCTGTTGTAGTGGAGCCATAGCAACTTCCATAGATATATCGTTGTAGCAAATTATGTGGTGTTGACTCCCTAGCAAAATATGTGGTGATGACTCCCTAGCAATTTCTGTGATATTGGTTCCATCGCTAAATTCGTGGTCTTGGTTCCATTACTAAGTTCATGGTGATGACTCCCTATCAGCTTCTATATCAAAGATTCCATATCAAATTACATAGACATGATTTTGTAACAAAGTCTGTTGCCATGTTTCCGTAGCGTAATCCATATGCATATTTTCGTAGCAAAATCCATGGAAATATTTTCGTAGCGACGGTCGTCGGAAAATCTCTAACATATTTTTGTAGCAAATTTTGTAGGAATATTTTCATTGTAAAGCTAGATAACTACGGATGGATAATTAATTTACAAATCAATTCGTAGTTATTTTGTACGAATATATAAAACAAAAAATCAAATAAGATTTATACAACAATAATAACCATAATATTACATGGTCCCGTTATACCATCAAGTGATGTAGTTAATTTACAAATCAATTCCTAGTTATTTTCTTCGGTTATTCATTTTGCTCTTTTTGTTTCCTTACAAGCTCCCCAATTCTTCCGGTTTATCATTTTTGTCCGAAATATAACATGGTCTCGTTATACCATCAAGTGATGTAGTTTTTAAGATAACTTACAAATGTTTGAGGCAGATTTGGAAAGTCCGCTCATTTTGTATGATGTTTGTTTCTCAAACTATGATTTCATTTTGGCTTATAATCAAATATGATTACATTATCAGGAAGAAGAAAAAAAGGAAACATGATCTAAGTAAACACAATTACAGAAATGATATTCGAAAAAGGTCAAGTAAAGATTAAGAAAAAAAAACATTCTGAACCACAACGAATGGAGGAGGCACATATTATTAAACATTTATATATTGCAAAAATAAAAAGCGGGAAGAGACACATACAACTCGGATCGCAAATACATTGTAGAGTTATGGTTCTTGGTATATTGAACCACCGAGCACATAGTAGGTAAGCATTCGAGTGAATTTTGAGGACCATCTGATATGCATCACAAATAGGTGGGCTCCACAAAAAAAATTAAGTTTATCAAAATATATAGGGACAAAATTGCAAAAATGGTCCCTGTGGTTGGCAAAATTCTGTAGTTTTGGTCCAAAACGAAATGTTGGTGTACCACTGGTCCAATTTTAGATACCTTGTGTGGTTTTGGTCCCTATGGTTGTATTTTCTTGTGTTTTTGGTCCAGATCTCACCTAAAATGACTAATATGCCCCTTAAATAATTATATTTTAATTTCTTTTATTTATTTTCTTATTCTTATAATAAAATGAAAAACAAAAACAAAATAAACCCACCTCTCTCTCTCTCTCTCTCTCTCTCTCTACCGCCTGCTTTCATCTTGATCAGATAGATCAAACGGGAATATGTGGCAAAAAAAAGTTCATTCATCCCTAAACTATATAGTGAACACAAGAACTCACCCACAATCAACCAGATTCGTTACCAATCATGATTTGCAGGTTTGAGATTCAACAAAAATCGAGACCCATTGTTGGGTCTCTTGGTCTCGACCTGTTTCTTCGTCCTCTGTCATGAACCACTGGCTGTAGTGGTGCTTCAGTGAGCCATCGAGACAACAGCCTCACCTCTCGCACATCTCTTCTTCTCCCGTCAAAGCAAACACCACTGGACCACATGCGACGTCCTGCTTCTCGTCTGAACTCTTTTCTGGCCTCCTTCCCTTCGAAAACCCTAGCCACACCGATCCCCTTTCCTTCGCATCCTTCTTCTGAGACAGAAGAGCACAAGATCTGCTCAAGCAGCCATTGCTGCCCTCGCTTCATCCTCCGCTCCGGATGAGTAAAACACCAAGAGGCGGCGATTTCTCTTCCCGATGAAAGATAAGAGGCGACGACCTTTTGTGTTGCTCGCCCCTACTCGCGAATTCGGCCACTGGACCATCGATCGACCTTGGGGCTATTCCAATTCGTATTTATTTTTCTCCATCGGACGAGGATCTTCATAACTTTGTGTATTTTGTGTGTGTGTGTGTGTTTAAGAAGACGAAGTTAAAGAACCCAGATGAAGATTTAGAGAGAGAGAGAGAGAGGATGGTGCTGGTTTTTTTTATTTTGAATAAAAATAGATAATAAAAAAATGGAAAAAAATTATAAGGGCATAATGGTCTTTTTAAGTAGATAGGGACCAAAAACAATAGAAATATCCAATTTTGGACCAGTGGTGCACCAACATTTCGTTTTTGACCAAAAACACATAAAATTGTCAACCACAGGGACCATTTTTGCAATTTTGTCTATATAGGTGCTATTTTACAACCTTATAGTTAAATGAAAACAATAAATTTTATTAAAAAGAAATACTTTTAATAGAATCCATGGTATATATTTGAATAATTTACAGAAATGGGAAATTAAATAAATAAAATTCAGCCACACGTAGTATGTTTGTGTACAGCCACACATGGTCCATATTTGAATAAATTTATATAAATTGTCCCTCGTGTAACTTAATTTACAGAAATAGTAAATGTCGACAGTTACTTTGCAAAAGAAATTGGTTTTTCAAAAAATAGTAACATTGTAACAGTTAAAAACTGTTTATGTTTTATAATCATATACAGCTAAAAACAGTCAATACTGTTAACAACAAAGGACCTTGGTTAAAATATAGAGTAAATTACACGAATGGTCCCTATGCTTTGGGATAATTTGTGCGCTTGGTCCCTAACTTATTTTTTTAACTCGGAAGGTCTCTACTGTTTGTTTTTGTTATGCGCTTGGTCCCTACTATTTGTTTTTATTACACGTTTAGTCCTTCTCTTACCTAAAAAGACTATTATTTAAATAGAAAAAATTGTGGGGTATGTAAGGTAAGGTGAAGGTGTGGGGCTGGGGGTGTTTTTATTTAAATAAACTAAAAAATCAATGGCAAAATAGTCTTTTTATGTAAGACAGGGACCAAACGCGTAACAAAAACAAACAGTAGGGACCTTCCGAGTTAAAAAAATAAGTTAGGGACCCAACGCGCAAATTACCCTAAACCATAGGGACCATTCGTGTAATTTACTCTAAAATATAAGTACACCACAAACCTATATGTGCCTATAGCCCTATATATTAATTACTACCATTGATTGGATTATTAGCTTATTTTTTTCTAAAAATACAGCCACACATAATCAAAATGGCATTGTACTTTCAAAGTATAATGCTTTATAACATTTTTTTTGTCTAAATTATCTATTTTTACTTATAACAAAAGAAAATGACAGCTCCTTGCAACTTGACTGATTACACAGTAAGCTGCATATGTTTTTTTAAAAGAAAAATAGATAGGAAATAGATCAAACTGAAAATCTACCAGGAATCCAATCGAGAGAATAATAATATTACTAAAAAGAAAATATAATGTTGATGGATTAACAATTGAAGAGAGAAAATAGAATATAAACCTGCTGACAAATTTAACAAAATTGGCAGATTTTGATACCAGATGAACAGTAAAAATTTCAATATTAAAATATAATAGAAATTTCACATTTTACATGTTTCGATCTTGGCACCCGATATTTTTCAGGTTTCACTAAAGTGAATTTTCAATCATTTTTCCCTGAAACTCATTTGAACTGTTAATAAAATGATGAAAACAGTCGTAAAAGAGAACTTCATTTTCACATATATAAAGAAAAACACACTTACAAAATTACTTGAGTTGTTTCTTGATGTTTTTGCATTTCCAAAACCCTCAAAAATTGCGTTGCTATCTTTGTTGGTTCAGTTTACCGTCTTGACTTTCACCACTACACAAAAAAGTTGTATGAAGTTGGTCCTACCATGATCTATAATTCAGAGAAACAAACACAACATGAATTAAATAATCTAAGCTTCAATAGTTATGAAAATTCGCTAAAATATTTACATAGATCATGTCTATCATATATGTATTGAAACAATGAGTGATGCTTCTGAATCACAACAAATAAATTAGCCAATTAGGTCATTTATCTGACTAAATTCATTGAGGTAGTTTTGCCCAATTTGGTTTAACCCCATGGACAAAGAACATATCCTTGAGGAGAAAATGATGGATTAATATCTTCATCATCAATCGAAGGTATATCATCCGTGAAAAAAGTTGATCTGTAACCATATGGTGATCCATGAACAAAGTTGATATGTGTCCATATGGTGAATCATTATCAACAATCTGAACAATGTTACCATTCTCTAGTACTCTAATCAATTGGAACAACATAAAAACACAAACACATCGCACTTGAGATTAATATAAAGTAAAGAAGAAGCACTTAATATTTGAGATACCAAAATTCCATTTCTCATGGTGTGGTTCGTCATTAGCATAATGGTGTGAGAGCAAAGACTGTATGGAGATGACATTAGACTTGAGGGAGTGATGCCACAAAAGTTGTACTCTCTTCACTACCACGTAGGCGACACGTCATTTTTTACAACAAAAGTGTGGTTTAATGCCACACCCAAGGAGTGGTGTCACACTTGAAATTTTTTTTAATTTCATTTTAATTAAATAAAAACTATATTTTTAATAAAAAAAACATACATTTCATTACTTCATAATAAAAATAACATTGCATTCCATTGCTTAAAAAAATCCTAAATACTTCGAAAAAAAAAACACTAGAAATTTTAAACCTACAAACTTAAAAAAACGTACATCAAACGATTAAAAATAAAACACACTACATGAAGTCGTCATCCAAGAACTCGTCTTCCGGGTCATCATCGGGATCCAAATTGAGGTTAATGTGTTGAATCCCGTAAATGTGTTCCACCAAGTCCATACGAAGACTGTGAAATGTTTCATTGCAACTAACCTCTGCTCTCTTTTCAATCTACTCGCCGCCCCCAATTTCTATTGCTTGTGTCGCGGGAATGGTTTCCTCCTCATCGTACTCACATATCGCTCTTCCTTCGTGTTCGATAATCATATTATGCAGTATGATACATGCATACATGACTCCATGCATTTTTTCCTCGCTGAAAAAATTGTTGGTTTTTTCAATATATACCAATGTTTCTTGAGAACTCCAAAAGCCCGCTCGACATCCTTCCTAGCTCTTTCTTGAGCTTTCTTGAATTTTTTCTGACGAGTATCATTCGGACACGTAAACGATTTAACAAAAATGCATACTCTGATAGATCCCATCAACCAGATAATAACCATATTTATATGGTGTTCCACGCAATTGGAAAGAAGAATCTGGTGCAGATCTTTCGTATATGTTGTTAAATATAGGTGAACGATTAAGAATGTTAATGTCGTTAAGGGATCCAGGAGAACCAAAAAAAGCATGCCAAATCTATTGATCTTGTGATGCCACTGCTTTAAGTATGACCGTTGGATGCCCATGATCACGTCAGGTAAATTGATCATGGTGTGAGGTAGGGAAGTTTTACCATGCCCTAATGTAGACAATCTAAACTTCTTAACATTCGAGGAAAGCCATGTACGCTAGCATGATGAGATTGCAATTTCATGATGTCATTGCGTGTAGGCTTACGTAAATATTTTGGACCATAAAACTGAATAATAGTTTTGCAAAAATAGTGTAGACTATCTCGTGCAGTCCTAGCTGACATCCTAAAACTCTCGTTCAATACATCAGGAGGGATGTCATATGCTATTTGACGAAGTGCAGCTGTGCATTTTTGAAAAGGGGTGAAACCAGGTGTACCTCTAGCATCGGGCCGTTTTTGGAATAAACCACACTCCTTCGTTAGATCTTCGACCATTCCTAAACACATGTTGGTCATATCTCGTATAAATATAGTTGATCATGCTATATTTATCCCAGGGATGATTACATAATTGTCTAGGCTTAATCGCAGTGTCCAACTTATCTAAATACTTTTATATGGTTCTTATTACGACACTATTCTAGTATGTACGCATATACGTATACTTTTATAAAAATAGTTTATACTTTAAAAGTATACTTTTAGTCAGAGTGTTTTAGCCCCCATTGTATTTATAGTTGTATATATTATATGGTTTGATATACTTAGTTCACTATAAACAACGCTCTGATACCAATCTGTCACACCCCTGAACCGAGTAAACAGCGGAAACGTCCGGGGGCAGATGACGTCATGTACAGTATCATAACAATTGCATAATAGAGATCGAAGCATTCCAAACATTGTATTGATAACTTAATATTTACATTGTATTTGAATCATTGTTTGACTCCAAAAGCATACAACAAAAATATAAGACGTAACAATACTAAGCTCCGTATTCACCAAAACCTGGGTGGGTACCTGCCTACTGATTTCCTGAGAATACAGGTGATTTTGAAAAAGTTTCAACATTTAAGTTGGTGAGTTCATAAGTATTTTGTATGAGAAATGTATGTCTTTGTTCCTTGAAAATGATAGTGTGTTCTTTCAAAAAATCTGATATTTTCTTTTAGATGTAATGTACTCTTAATTGTTCCAAGACCAAAATGTATAAGTATTGTTATACTTTGTAGTAGTATAGTGTAGTTTTATATCTTTATAAAACTATTTGAATGCATGTTTCCAGAAATGTAAATTGTATTGTACTGGAAAATAATGTACTGTGGTTGTATCTGTGTAAAACGCTTTGAATGAATGTTCCAAAAAATGTAATTTGTATTGTACTTAGAAAATGGTGTAATGTAGTTGTATCTAAATAAAACTACTTGAAGACATGTATGTATTCGTAAACCAAACGTATTGTTAATACCCCTTGTGTGTTATTATAACCATGCTAATGACCTAGATGGCCTGTACGACGTTCTTCAGGCGTCAGAATCGGTACG